ATAGCTGCAAGATCACTCATTGTATGTAAAGTTGGACAGTTATATTTTCGTCTGGCAGACAGGTGACATCTTTAAGTGATGACCTCCCAATTTAGTATTTCATTAGGAATGACCGCTCACATGAAAAGTGCTAATCACTTGTAATATATTTGACTGTTAAAGATTTACATAACTAAGATAAAATTTATTCAGCCTGGAACAGGAGATCACCAGATCTAGACTTGTTTAAGATCAGATTTAGAGCATCTTCAGATGTGATTGTTTTTAATACACATTGTTCATTCTAATTGTATATTTATATTCAGTCTCTCTTTATTTTTCACGAATTTGGTTAGTCAGAGAAAACAAAATTATTTTTGCAGTAGATTTCTTGGAAAATCTCCTGTTATTTATCAAGTCTGTCTTGTAACTATTAAGGGGAGCTGTTTTGGCTGAATATACTACAGAATAGATAGGTAGAAGAAAGTTTTGGTGCTATGGCCACAGGATATCCTACTGCAGAGTTTTCTGTATTTTTTCTGTCGTGTGCATCACCCTTATTTAAACTCTTTTGTATTTAAATTTAATAGCTTTGTTTGCAAAAAAAAACGATATTTTTCAGAGCTTGTGAACATGAGGGAGAGTTGGTCCCCAAAGGAAGATGGTTGTTTGAATAAGTTGTTGGAATTAGGAAAAAAATATTTTGCATGTAGGACATTTGCTGATGTGGCAAAGGTCCATGACTTTTTCCTCAATGTGACCAATAATTCCGGAAAGAGATGTGCCAATATCTAGTGCATTAAGATCAGTCAGTTAAGTTCTCACCCTGAAGACTGACATAAGTGTGAGGAAGGCACAAACAACTGAGAGTTATTGTAATAGTATAGTGTCTGGCGAATCTGAGACTGAATGGAGCGTCTTCAATAGGACTCCCAGGCCTCTGCCAATAAGAGTAAACCCATCTCCAGCTTTGGTCGAAGCCATGATAATATAGTTGGGAAATATTGTAAGTAAAGTTAAATACACAGTACACCAACAGAAACTATCTCACTTGCAGGTGAGATGGCAAGCAGTAGTGATAAGAAAGGTGATTCTTGAGGCAGTTGTGAGTTTTCCAAGCTGGTAGTTTTGTTACATGACCATAGATCATAGAGAAGCCTGGGGTTTAATAAGACCAATGTACAAGATGCTGAGAGCAACATATTATTAACATAACATAACATTAAAGGACAGCAAGGGACCTTTTGGTCCATTAGGTTGTCCTATCCACTAAATTAAAGGAAATCCTTAAGAAATCAAAGCCAGCTCTTATCATTCATCAAGTCTTATCAAGTATTTATCAAGTCTTTCCTCAAACTCCCTTAAACTAACTGCATTTA